GCATTGGGCTTCCTGCTCGGCGGGAAGCCTGCTTCTCCCTCTCCCACTCCCCCTGCTTGTGCTCCCTCTCTCACTGTGTCTCTCTCTGTCTAATAAATAAAAATTCTAAAAAAAAAAAAAAAAAACCACTGTGCAAAGGCTTCTTCTCTTTCCATGCAGAAAGGACTATGGAAAAGGACAGAAAATCACCCTATAACTTTCTGCAAAAATGGAGCATTTGAGAAGTCAATGTATATGTTTTATTTTTCACATGAACAGTTTTATATTCATTCCTAACAAAGTTAAACAAAGCCAGGCTAAAAAGCAAAACTGCTGTCTGGTTATAGAGAGGGCGGATTCTGCTTGCTGCATTTCTATTCTGACCACAGTTACTATTCCAAGAAAGAATGACTTTATTCTACTTTGCATTTTCATCATTGTCTTTGTGTCCTACAATAGCATTAATTTCATGACAGTTTTATATTTATTCTCAGAAGACTGAATTATCAGAATTTAAATATATTATTATGTTGTTATGTTAATATGTTGTTATATTTTATCACTTACGTTCTTTGAAGGATTTGATGGGTGGTGTAGTTTTTTCGTAAAGGTTCTTGATAAAATATGTGGTTAAGAATCAGTTACCTATTTAAACAACTAAAAATCGAAATAATTTGTCATAAAATGTAGTGTTCCTTCAGATTTTACAACAGAATGTAGAAGACGTTAATTATCTTTAAGCATTCATATTCTCAAGACAATAAAAAGAGGGAAGGAATCTCCATAGAGGTCAGACTCATCAGAGTAATTTTAAAACTCTAAATTGAGTGCACAACTATATATGTTTCAGGATTTTACTTGACATTATGAAAGACTTATTTTTGGAAGCACTTAATTTTTTAAATGACAGTGGGGACCTCCAGAGGAGAAGCATAACTCACTAGGGAGAGAAGCTTCCAGATGTCATGCTTGTTAGAGGTACGGTTCCTTGTATACACAAAAATCCTATTTTTAAATGCTGAGTGTAGGAATGACTGCACCATATTTGTTACATGCTGATGCATTTAGGCATGTTAGTGCATTCAGTATTTTAAGTGCAGTCCACAGGGACCAAAGCCCATGGAACCCAACTGAATGGCAAACTGTATGGTAGAATACTGTTGACATTGGCATTTCTCTTTCCGGATGTATACCTCTAAGAATCAAATCTTTGTATATTCTCTTAGAACTGGCCAAGCTATAAAGGTCATAAACATTTGAGGGTAATATGCAGTAAACACCACACAGTGATTCAGAAGGCATGGATTCTAGTCTTTTTTCACGTACTTGATTGATTTTTTAAAAACTTTTTATAGCCTTTGACCTATGTTTGTTTTCAAATTCTAGGGGCGAGAGAAAGCCAAAAATAGATCTTTTCAGGACCTGTGTTGCTGCTATCCCCCGACTGCTTCCTGATGGAATGTCAAAACTTGAACTTATTGACTTGCTGGCTAGGTAAGTGAGAACTGCCGTGGGTGTATTTGATTAAACTGATTGTAATCCTTTGTCATGAGTCCTAAAAAAAAAAAAAAGAATGATTATTAAAAGTTGACAAATATTTACTAAATGAGGCATTATTCTAGGTACTATGTATAGGTAAGGAGAAATAAAAAAATGTTTTTTGTCTTTTCCCCATGTTCAAGGGGCTTAAAATCCAACGTAAAAGCGAATACGTAAGTTCATAAGGTAACTAACAATCCAAGGCCTGAAATTGTGCAAACTAATGGCACAAAAAGTGTGATACGTGAGTTCGGTGGGTAGAGGGATTACTAGGGACTGAGGAAGTCAGCAGATCAGTCCTGGGAGAAGGTGGAGGTTGAGATAGGACTCAGAAAGGAAAAGCATGACATGAACAAGGGCACAGGGGTGGGGCCAGGAAATGAGGAGATGAATCTGCCTGGAGAAGAGTTCATTCAGGGTCTGATTCCCAGTCTGACGCCCATAGACCCCCAGGGGGCCAAGAAGGTGGGTAACAGGGATCCTTAACTAATTTTAGTGCTTCAGAAAGCTTCCAAAAGCCATATATGTATCACCCTCCCAACATTGTCTCTGAGAACGCACAGTCCAACTAGAACCTCAAGTTAATTTGTTTTAAGTGAAATTATGTCGTTACAGTGAAATAAGTGTCATTTTTCTCATGTTGGTATGAAGTTCTAGCTGATAGTTATGTGTGTCTTTAATTTAAAAATCAGAAGTGACACTACTTAAAAGCAATTTAGAATATGAAATCCTTAGAAACATGGGGCACATGAAGGGAATGGAATGAGGAAGAACAAAATCATCCTTAATTTGAAAAAAGAAAGAAAAAGAAGGAAGGAAGGAGAGAGAGAGAAAGAAAGAGAAAGAAGGAAGGAAGGAAGAAAGAAAAGAAAGAAAAGAAAGAAAGAAAGAAAGAAAGAAAGAAAGAAAGAAAGAAAGAAAGAAAGAAAGAAAAGGGAATTTAGAAAGCCAATGATGAAAAGACCTAGAAATAAGACTGGAGAGATAGGGGCGCCTGGGTGGCTCAGTCTTTAAGCATCTGCCTTCAGCTCAGGTCATGATCTCAGGGTCCTGGTATCGAGCCCCGCATCAGGCTCCCTGCTCAGTGGGAAGCCTGCTTCTCCCTCTCCCACTCCCCCTGCTTGTGTTCCCTCTCTTGCTGTGTCTCTCTGTCAAATAAATAAAATCTTTAAAAAAAAAAAAAAAAAGACTGGAGAGATAGATTTTCAGTTAATCTTTACTATTAGCTGAGGCATTTGGACCGATGGAGTTTTAAGTGAGAGAATAATATGATAAAAAATATTTTAGGCTGGTTAATCTGATAATGGTGGAATAGAAGAAAGCCCAGAGAAGGATAACAAATATTAATGTTGACTGAATGAAAGATGCATTATGCATGACCTCGTTTGCCCGCATTCGCTAGCCCTCGGAGAGCACCCTTCCCATCAATATCCAAATGAAATAACCCAAGCCCTGGTCTCACGTGACTGCAGACCACCCATGGCCGCCCCACGGCTTCTGAGTATCTCCACGGAGCACCATGCTCCTGGTGATCGTGGTCATCATGCCCTCTGCTCTGGATGGCCAGTTTGGACTCCTATTGATCACTCCCTGCTGTCAGTTAATATCATTGTAGCCACTGCCCTCCAAGCATAGACACAGCTGCCCCTTTCCTCCTGCCGGTCACCACTGGCACAGGACGGTGCTGGCTTGTGAGGTTGACTGTTTCAAGCCCTGGTGCTCTCTGACCAAAGCTGTCCACCCTTTTAGCTGGCTTTGGTCACTGCTACCTGTAACCCCTTCTTTCCTGTCATCAGCAACCTCCATTCCACGTGTCCTTCTTTCTTCCATTCCATAGTTTAGGACATATTTTAAGAAGATTATGAAGTTAAAAAAAGATTTGCAGTCTAGGATTTTGCTGTGGGCTAACAACCAGAATGTGAGCGAAGAACACATTCATTGGAAGTGGGGAAGCAGTGGAAGAGAGGGAAACGTAAGCCTGGATCACAAAGGGGCTTCCAGCTCTGGGTGAGAAGATCTAAAGAGGAGCAAAGGGTAGATTTCCAAAGAATAAGAAACATGGTGATTTGGGAGTGGGGGAAGCTGAGGAAGAAGAGGCTAAGATACTACAATATTGAGTGTCCCAAGATGCTGGCAAAGCCAGAGAGTAAGGAAATGCTGAGAGGCAGGTGTCAGGTGCCAAGGTTACCCAGAAATGTAAGAGCAGCCCGTCCCTGTGCCAGGGATAGCGGTGGACGAGCTGCGTGAGTAGGAGTCCAGTGTGCACAGAAGAGGGGTTGCTGAGTGAAGGGGCTGGATGTGGCAGTGAGAAATTAGGGGACAGAAGACTGTTCCTCATGGCCTGTGAGCTTCCAGAGTATGGAAGAGCACCATCTGAGAGATTTGGAGGAAATACCAAAAAATGGGAATGAAATGGAATCATTTGGAAATCCTGAATTTTGTATCCCTGCTTTTGCCATTTTACTAGCCATGTGACCTAGACAAATTATTTAAGCCCTCAGACGTTTTTCCTTGATAAAATTGGAATATTACTGGGGAGCCTGGGTTGGCTTAGTGGGTTAAGCATCTGCCTTCGGCTCACGTCATGATCCCTGGGTCCCAGGGTTCAGGCCCCGCTCAGCAGGGAGTCTGCTTCTCCCTCTCCCTCTGCCCCTCCCCTCACTCCTGCTCTCTCTCTCTCACACTCTTTCTCTCTTTCTCTCTCAAATAAATAAATAAAATCTTTTTTTTTTAAAGATTTTATTTATTTATTTGACAGAGAGAGACACAGCGAATGAGGGAACACAAGCAGGGGGAGTGGGAGAGGGTTTCTCGTGGAGTAGGGAGCCTGATGCGAGGCTCGATCCCAGGACCCTGGGACCATGACCTGAGCTGAAGGCAGACGCTTAACGACTGAGCCACCCAGGTGCCCCAAATAAAATCTTTTTTAAAAATTGGAACAATACTGCCTCTTTCATAAGATGGTGGAGAAGGCCACGTGTCATAGACATGCGCTTTGGTTAATCCAGGGGAAAATGTGTCAGCAGGGAAAAAGCAGCTATCAGTTAAACTGAAGCAGAAGGAAAGTTCGCTGACGTTGGTGAAGTTCTAATTGGAGATGATTATGTGCACGAGGCCTTTGAAATACTAATTTTTTTTTAAAGATTTTATTTATTTATTTGAGAGAGAGAATGAGACAGAGCATGAGAGGGGAGAGGATCAGAGGGAGAAGCAGACTCCCTGCTCAGCGGGACTCGATCCTGGGACTCCAGGATCATGACCTGAGCCGAAGGCAGTCGCTTAACCAACTGAGCCACCCAGGCGCCCTGAAATACTAAGTTTTTTAAATGTCACACAGTGTTCAGGTACAGCCCCTGACACTATTTTGCTGTGACTCTGTGTGGGAGACTCTTACCCCTGGATCACTCTGATCCCCGAATCCAGTGATGCCTGGATCTGCAGACCATGGTGCCAGGCATGCCAGAAGGGAGTTCTGTTAGACGTGGTTGGAATGTCAGTGCTATTTATGGTGCATCGTGTTTATTATTATGTACATTCTGACAAAGCTCAAAGCAATGGGTACTGTTTTTATGAGGGGAAAGAGCAAATAAACATTCTTGAGAGTTCAAGGCTTAGAAATCAAGAAAGTGACTGTACTTATATGGGAAGCCCATGAAGAGGCCTTTTCCATAGACTTTAAAAGAAGCTGGAGGCTGTTCTCCCCAAGGGAAAGATAATGGAGTGCTCGACCTACACATTGGGTCCTGTTAACCTATGAGAAAAATGAGCCCCTTCAGATCTCCTTGAGAGGGTCAGAGGACAAAATGAAGAAATTCAACAGCAATAAATGTGGATTTCCAGTCTGTAGGTACTTTATTCCCCCAGAGTCCACTCACATTTGGACTGAGTTGACTCTTGAGATGATACACAGTCTAGTCAGAGAGGTATGAGAACTTTTAGTTCAGATGCTTCACGGTTACATCCATGGTACATTTCTACTGGAAAAAAACTTGGTTTTCTTTATTTTTTTTAAAGATTTTATTTATTTGAGAGAGAATACAAGTGGGGGAAGGGGAGGGACAGAGGGAGAGGGAGAAGCAGACGCCCCCCTGAGCAGGGAGCCTGACGTGGGTCTCGATCCCAGGACCCTGGGACCATGACCTGAGCAGAAGGCAGATGCTTAACTGACTGAGCCACCCAGGTGCCCCTTGGTTTTCTTTATAACTGGCAAAATAAGACCAACATTCACACCAGCCCTCTATCCCCAATCCCCAGCTCAGTTCCCTGAATAAGGAGTTTCAAGGATATGTCCCACATGACTGTCCCCAAGGCCCCTTCCCAGCATTTCAAGTAATGGCTAAATCACAGATACTCTAACTTCAGACTTCTGTTAGTGTGTTTAGCATGACAATGTTGTGTGGAATGAACCGGTAAACCCCTTTCTCCACGTTACTACATTTTTTATTTTGTGTATTGCTCAGCCCACTTTTAATGGCCAAGTGTGAGGAATCTTTCTACTTAGGCTCCATGGAAGCTCCACAGGCCCTCCTGACATCACGATAAGATCCCTGGGGAGGATTTCCTTCCTGCTCTCACAGAGCCTGCCCTTCCCAGTTGTCTGGGTGCTCCCAAGATTCTCCACATAGGAGGGGAGCTTACTTGTGTCCTTGGCCATAGGCATCGTTTTTCTCTGACTGTCCTCCCAGGTGTTTCCTGCTCTGTCCCTTGACCACAGGAAGGACCTTTCCCTCAACGGTCTACAGGCTCCCATCCTCTGTCACTTCCCGCAAGACTACATATTCACGAAGGGGTTGCTGTTCAGCTTCTGCCCACCCCCTTTCAACAATTTGTCATGAGGTTGTGAGAATCAAATAATGCATATAAATAATTTCACATAGTGCCTAGAACACAGTAAGCTCTCAGCAAATGTTAGTTATTATTTTTAGGCATCTTTACATTTGAATAACAGATTATGCCATGATGTACAACGTACAATGCGTTTTCATGCACACATTTAAGCTGGGCATACATTTATTCCTATTTTCAGAGAAGGAAATTTGAACTTCAGAAGAGTAAAGTTGGTTGCCCAAATGTACAGAATTTTCCTGCAGCCAAATGGCAGTGACAAATGTCATTGGTTTGATTCAAAGTGACAGATAAACACTATTTATGCTGTGTTTCCTTATAATTTGTGGCAATTTATGAAGTAATGCACACACAATTCCACAATCTTCTGTGGTACCTGAAAAATATTTGTCATTTAGCATTTACCATTCGCTTTTCAGTATATGTCTGTACAGTGGAAGGTGGCTGGTTGTTTTGAGTAGCTAACTGAGAACTATAGTCTTAATTGCATATAATGCTTCAATAAACCACTTAATCTTATTTCTTTAATCTATTTTATTTTAATTGAGATGCAGTTCAGAGCACTGTGCATAGATGGAAGTTCATTCTTTAATACCTGCAGAGAAAACATTCCAACCACTTCTGGTGAACTATTCCAAAGGCTAACCATCCACCTGTCAGCATATCCCTCCTTTTGGAAACCATTGTCTCCTGGGCTTCACTATAAAACCATTTCTCCCTCTGCTGCCCTTGGTGATATTACAGGACAGCGAGTTCCTCACCTCTTCCTAACAACCATTTGTTTATCCTGCCACAGTTAAGAATGGGCAGTTTCTCCTAATGGATCTTTTTCTTCTGAATTTGGTTTGTGAATTTGAAATCACTTCCTTCTGACTCGTGTACCTGTACACAACAAAATTATTCAAAAGTACTAAGCTGATCCCATGTGAATCTGAAGCTCACCTTTATGGAAGTATTTTCCACTGGAAGTCATCTATAGAAGCTTATTCTCTAAAACATTCAGGACCATAGATAGGTATAAATATAATAAATAGAAATGATGAACTTAAGATGGGAAGATGACTTCAAGTTTTTTATAAATTAGCATTTTTTTGTTTTGTTTGTTATAAACTAGTATTTTTAAACCATGGGCTGCAAAATGACTCAAGGCTGTTGTTTATAGAGTAATGTTTCCTCCCAAATGGGTGGGCTTTAGGCCCTTTACCTCAGCTTTAACTCAAATTTTGTGTTATACTTAAAATTTGGGGGAAAAAAATACAGCTGCTGATTAAAACACAAAGTTTGTAAATTCCTGCCATAGACAGTCCTTAATTGGAAGCCCAGGGTAAAAGCTTCTACATTTTCCTTCAGCAACTGTGATCCCCACAAAAACTTTAGACTTTGTGGGCTAAGTCTAACCTGAAGAATCAGATCTTCCTTCTCAGCAACTTCCTAGAACATCACTTGCTTTTGGAACAAGAAATATGTTTTCCCTGACTTGATATATATCTGCTCATTAATGAGCTTTATGCCTGGTTTACAGTGTCAAATTTGGACCAGTTAGTGTGCTTTATGCTTCAGAGAATAAGGAAGGTGTTTGCTTTTCAAGTTTTGAAATCATGTTTATTCAAAAACATAGGACTGTACCAGACTTGTTTAGATTAAGGGTTAGAAGTCCTGGGCTGGAATCCTAGACTTTGAGGAAGTTCCTACATGGTCTGGGTCCAAGTGTTTTCTTCCCTTCATTGAGGGTACTATCTGCCCCGTTTGTGGGGGCCCCCAATGACTCAGCCATTTTCTTTTCTGACATTGAACGCCTCCGGGCTGCTGAGTGCTGGAAATTCTATCTCCTCGGTGTCTTTGATCTGTCTCCCTTTCTCACTACTTCTCTGCCTTGGGCCAACCCCCCCCCCACCACCAACAACAACAACTTGTTCCTAAGTCACTGCAGTGACCTCCTAGCTGGTCTCTGCCCCAACTCTAGTTGCTTCTCCAAGGCATCCTCCATATTCCTGCCTATTTTTTGTTTCAGATGTGAATCTAATCATGTTATTTCCCCTATATCTTTCAAGATACAGCTCATTTTTTTTCTAATAATAATAGCTACCAGTTACTGAGTGTTTGCTACACACTCAGTGTGGTGGTACATGCTGCATGTGGGTCATCTTCATGAACCTCACAACAAGTTTATGAAATGCAAGTATAATTATTGTCCCCATTTCCCAAATGAGGCTCTGAGGCTTAGAGAGATTGACTAGCACAAGGTTACATAGCTAGTAAGTGACAGAGGCAAGACACTGAGCTGGACATTCTGATTCCAGAGCACACACCCTTAACCCCTTCCCTAATGTATTGCCTCCCTGGGTGGCCTGCAGACCCTTCACTGAGCTGCCCCTGCTTCCTCTCTAGCACCATTTCACTCCTTGCTCCTGCAAGCTCCCCAGCCAATAGACACAGCCCTACTGAACTCCATATCCGAAGGGGTTTGTGTCCAAATCTCAGGAGGTCTCAAAAATATTTGTTTCTTAAATAAATGAATAAAAGAACCTATAAAACATGGTGTTAACTGATGGTTCATACCAATGTCATGATTTAATATTATTATGGTATTATAGGTTATACCACCAATACCCAAGTTGACTTGGGTTTTCTCAACCTTGACACTATTGACATTTTGGTCTAGATAATTCTTTGTTGTAGGGAGTTGTCCTGTGCATTTTAGGATGTTTAGCCACATCAGTAGGTTCTGCTTACTAGAGAGATGATGGAAGCACTCTCGGAGTTGTGACAATCAATAATGTCTCTAGACATTACCAAATATCCCTTGGTGAGGCAAAACCAATTGTGGACCGTTAATCTAACCCTTAATTGCTCATTTTCACTGAACTTCTGGATAAGTCCCTTAGTTTCTCTGGTACTCAGTTTTCTTATCCTTAAAAGTGATAGGGTTTGATACTAATTTATTCTGTAGTCAACATTGTATTAAAAAGTATTCAGATATCGCTGAATGCCAGGTAATATTTTAGATTCCATCCTGAAACGAAAAAAGGACATTAGTGAAAAACTAGTGAAATCTGAATAAAATCTGTAGTTTAGTTAATAGCATTGCACCTAGGTTAATTCCTTAGCTCTGAGAAAAGTACCCTGGTTCTATAAGGTGTCAACATGAGGGTAGCTGAATGAAGAATAGACGAGAGGGTGACCCATTCTTGAGACATGAATAAAAGCAGAGAGCTCTATTTGTTCCATCACAAATCTAAAAGAAACATTAATAAACTAAAGGCTTTTATTGTCTTTTACTCATTTCACAGGCTCTCTATTCATATGGACGATGAGCTGCGACATATTGCACAAAATTCTCTTCAGGGTTTACTTGTTGACTTCTCAGACTGGAGAGAAGATGTACTATTTGGCTTTACCAACTTCCTACTTCGGGAAGTCAATGACATGCATCACACGCTCCTTGATTCATCCCTGAAGTTACTGCTCCAGCTGCTCACCCAGTGGAAACTGGTCATACAAACTCAAGGAAAAGTCTATGACCAATCCAACAAGATCAGAAATTCAGAGGTGATTTTCACACTCTTCCCACCAATTTATATTTCCTAATATAGTATATGTGTAAATAAGTTGCAGCTTGGAGAACCTTTGGAGCTCTTACTTCCAGCTACCTAGGAAGTTTCTCCCTGGTGGTGGCCCTTAATTTTTCCAACTTGGGTAAATTGTGACCAAGAAACTCAGGGTTGATATACCATCAGGTTAAATTTGTTATCATTCACCAGGCCATTCAGAGAGTGGAAATTGCTTATTTCAGAGAATTATGATTATAAATCTCTAAGAGCAAATGACTGTAAGCATGGATATAGAGCCGGGTATGGATATGCCTATTGAGCTCGATATGGATATGTATATAAAAGTTAGCTGCCCACCAGTTGTTTTTTAATCCTAGCCTACAACATATTGGTTGCATTGTCCAATATCCATAGAGAAGAAAATGCAGTCTTATGGTTTCTTTATTCCTTCCCACCTCAGTCCTAAATGCTAAAAATGAATGACAACATTTTGAAGAGCAGGTTATGGAGAAGTTGTCAGAGGAGAACAAGGGCAGTGGTGAACTTGACATTGGCAATGAGCAGATGGAGACAGGGCCTGGCGAGGGAAGAGCACAGCTGAGATTTTGAGGAACATGGAGGCTCAGGGGAGTACAACAGCACTGGGGGAACAGCCAGGATCCCCGATCCTAGATCATTCCTGTTTCCCTGTGTTGTACACATACCAAAGGATGATAGGTAGAAAAACAAGGGTTATGTGAGCTTGTCAAAGGAAAACTGAAACGAATGTGGAATCTGCCCTGTTGTCTGGCTTGCTTTTGCTTTAGAGCTACTTCGTTGTGGCTTTGGGAACTTTCAGAACCCACCTCATAAATGTTCACACACCCAGATTAGAATCGAACACAAGAAACTAGTAAGTACGTGTGGTTAGAAAGTAAATGTTTGAAAATTCAATTGAAAGGTCTCCTCAAGTCTATAGAGCATCTGAGTCGAAACAAATGAGGCCACTTTGACTCAATTTATAGTGTCATCTCAAATGGTATATGGATGGAAGCTGGTTTGTTCTTATTAATATTAATAGCCTTTGAAAGTTTTCTCTTATCAGAGATAACAGATGGTTGATGGTATTCCAAAGTAACAATGGGTCTCTTGAAAGAAAAAAAGGGATCTATGATCTGTCATGAATAATAATGAATTTACAGTCCTGCCTGGTTATAAGTCATTGCAATTTAATATTATGAGATCACATGTGCCAAAAGATGCACATATGAGTAGTTTCTTCTTCTTCAATTGTTATTTTTCTGAATATAGAATGTGTTCTTATTGCCCGACAGCTGATTGCAAATGGCTCCAGCCACAGAATTCAGTCGGAGCGGGGCCCCCACTGCAGCGTGCTTCACGCTGTGGAAGGCTTTGCTTTGGTTTTACTCTGCAGTTTCCAGGTGGCCACACGCAAACTGTCCGTTTTAATACTCAAGGAAATTCGAGCTTTATTTGTTGCCCTGGGTCAGCCTGAGGTATGGATTCTCCTTCTGAATTTTCTAATTCATTTCTTTCTTTTGAAGTTTAGATTAAAACCTGTGAATAATGCATTACGAGTTTATGTGCCTCCATGTCACACATGATGTCAAAAAATATTCACCATGGGTTTTTGATTATGAAAGAGCACTCTTGATCTCCACGAGATATGTCATATATTCTGAGAGCAATAGAAAAGACCATTCCTGATTCTCCAAGAGGTTGTCCTTGGTTAAGCAGTGAAGAATTTTAAGATTAAGTCATAGATCATTTTCCTTCATAATGTTCAGCACACGTCAAATTAAGAAGACATTATTACATTTCTGTTAGAGAATGAACTTGAAAAAATAATGAGTTCCATTTTACATGATCAAGGTATCAAACAGTCTGGCTAACTAAAATTTGTTTAATTTCAGTAATCTTAAAATTACAAGAAAATATGTCCTCTTGAGACAGGAGAAGTAAGCCAATTATTAAGCACGGTCGGCCAGCTAATGTCTGCGCTTGGTCAAGGGCTATATGCGCTTGTTCAGATGTTAAGGCTCATCACCTGCCAGCACAAGTGACCGAACCATAAGTTGCATAAGTTGATGAAAGAAGGACCAGCCTGTTATGTCACATACTTCAGAAAAATGCTACTTTCCATTTTCCTGTTTTAAATCCCTGAACTTGGTTTTCCGATCCACAAAATGGTCATTGTCTTTACCCAGTATTTTCAAATTCATCACAATCCTTTCTGTTCACTTTTCTTCAGATGGCTTGGTGATATATTTTAGGACATCTGTGGTATCTGGTAAATGGATATCCAAGACATGCTGTATTTTGGTAAACCTGCATTAAATCTCTAACTCTGATAGGAATGATAATCATTACCATGGGCGTGTCCGGCATCGTGCTGTGTGCTACACATAGTATCTCACTTAACCTTCACAATAACCTAAAAATTAGTAGTATTTTACCCACTGTACAGATACAGAGGCTGAGGTTTAGGGAGATTAAATGCCTTAACCAAAAGTCAACAGGGAGGACATGACACAGCCAGAACTGAAAGTCACATATATATGCCTCCAGAGCCCAATGTTCTTTTTAAAGTACAGTTGACCATAATTGCTATATTAGTTTCAAGTATAAAACCCATGCTCTTAATTTCTATTCCAAGACTGTGTTAAGAACACTTCTCGGGCGCCTGGGTGGCTCAGTTGGTTAAGCGACTGCCTTCAGCTCAGGTCATGATCCTGGAGTCCCGGGATCGAGTCCCACATCGGGCTCCCTGCTCGGCAGGGAGTCTGCTTCTCCCTCTGACCCTATCCCCTCTCATGCTGTTTCTCTCTCTCTGTCAAATAAATAAATAAACAAAATCTTTAAAAAAAACAGAACACTTCTCATACGTTGCTCTCGTCTACCAGCCACAACTTTGTTTTCGTACAATTTTTTTTTTTTAATTGAGGTGTCATTGACCTACAAGATTATACTAGTTTCGGGTGTACAACATAATGAACCTATATTTGTTTACACTGTGAAATGATCCCCACCATAAGTCCAGTTAACATCCGTCACCATACAGAGTTACAGAATTGTTTTCTTGTGATGAGAACTTTTAAGATCTCTCTTAGCACCTTTCACATATGTTACACGGTATTATCACTGATAGTCACCATGTCGTACATTATATCCCCGTGACTGACTTATCTGGTAGCTGGAAGTTTTTAGCTTTTGACTCCCTTCACACATTTCACCCACCCCACAACCACCAATCTGTTCTCTTTATCTGTGAGCTTGTGTGTTTTTTTTTCCCAGCCACAATTGTTTTGTAACCGTTCTCATTCATACATGAATAATGGTATTCCAAGACTTTCCTGTAAGGCTTCGAAAGTAGATAATTTTATAATTCTGAGCTTCTCTATAATAAAGGGTGGCAAACATATACATATCCATATATGGATACACACACATGCAAACACCCACCCACACACACACACACACACACATATATATGTAATATGTACACTATTTGTGTAGAAGAATTTTCCATAAGATGCTCTCTCCCATACTCTGCAGTTTGCTTCTTTTACCAAATAGCTGTACACAACAAAGATACCACAGAGTGTGTGGTCAGTCTCCAATGCATTTTCTTTGGAACTAAAATTCAATCGCAGTCAACAATCTATCAGTTATTTTAGCAGAGGAGTGACTCAAGCAAGTAGCCTTTTAGTGGTCCAGCAAGGCATATTCTTCTGGGGTTTCCATCCCTAAAATTTCATGACAACATGAACCCTCTGCTGGATGATGTATGGCACCGGTGTTTAGATCCTTGCATACATGTGCAACTTATTGAAATTCAAGTCCGTGTCTTTACAGTACAACGTGAAGTTGGAGCTCTAACCATCTTCCACTGCAACTTGAAAGATTAAACTCAGAATCACAGGGAATTTTATCTACTGCCTTTCACCATCTTGGCACTCACTTTTCTGTGACAAAACTCTTATCACTATCTTGCAAGCTGTTCTGCTTCATGTACCAAACAAACGCAGTGGGGTGGGTGGGAAGGATTCTTTTTCCCATGGAGAGTAATTGCGCACCCTTTTACAGGACGATGACAGGCCTATGATTGATGTCATGGATCAGCTAAGTTCGTCCATTCTCGAAAGTTTCATTCATGTAGCAGTTTCAGATTCGGTAAGTACTGATTCTAATTGTTCTCAAGTGTAAGCTCCGGACCTATCTGAAAAAGAGACAAAGAAAAATGATGTGGAAGAATTCTGGGGTTTCGTGTCAGATAATAAACTGACACAACAGTACTTGTGAAAACAAGACAAGGTTTTCAGATACTAGCTTAGGAAACGTTCAGATAAAGTTCAAACAAAATTTGAACCTTAGGAGTATAGATATTTTACAAACAGCAATTTCAAGAAAAATTGCTCAAGATTCTTTAACTCTTTATTTATCATGCTCATATCATGCTCAACACCATTATGTAACTTATATGTGATGCTTTAGACAGTTTACAGTGTGCTTTCATATTTATTATCTTTTTTGACCCTCCTAGGTACTGAAACTCAAAAAATATTAAGGGGCGGGGCCATAGTCACACAGAGAAGTGTTAGGTCCCGGACTTGACCCTAGTTGGACTCCGAATCTAGGACACCTTTATCTGTCAGTCAAATACATTCTTCCCTTTTTAAAGAGCATATTGGCAACTTTCAATTTCCTGAACAAATTAAAGGGAAATTGATACTGATATTAATTATCTGATTTTTTAAAAAATCAGTCTAGGGTGCCTGGGTGGCTCAGTTGGTTAAGCGACTGCCTTCAGCTCAGGTCATGATCCTGGAGTCCCGGGATCGAGTCCCACGTCGGGCTCCCTGCTCAGCAGGGAGTCTGCTTCTCCCTCTGACCTTCCCCCTCTCATGTGCTCTCTCTCTCTCTCTTATTCTCGCTCTCTCAAATAAATAAATAAATAAAATCTTTAAAAAAATAAAATAAAAAAAATAAAAAATCAGTCTAGTGCAGGAAGGGGACCTGGATTAATTTCAGCTCACTAGCTAAAAAGAGACAGTGCAGATCGGGGACCGTTCACAGCATCCACATTGTTGATGCCCCTTGTATCTTCTTGTCAAATAACTATAAATGAACACAGACATATCTGACAAATAGCTATAAATGAATACAAGGCCTTTTCGTGGTCTCTTTCTGAGACTGAGCACAGATCCCTACCTTTAGTGGCCCTGTTCTTGCTTATGGTTGTAGTGCTAACGATCATTCCTCAAACTATTAAGCCGGGCCGGGCAGACTTTCACAGTGATATTGCATAACCCTACTTCTTTTAGAAATTCAGTTTGGGTTAACATGGAATGGAGGAGTCAAGTTTAATTGTCTTATAGCCATATTTTCTTTGCCTGCAGATGATATTCATGTGATTATGTTCTGTTTATCAGGATCAAAATCTTGAGCCAGGGGTTACTAGATCAGCAATACAGCACTTAGGAAGATACACAGAAAAGGGAGAAGTGGGATGTGCCCGCTTTGTACCAGGTGTTTCTACGTTCCTTATCTCACTTAGTTCACCTAAAGATTAGGTGAGATTAGCATTATAATTCCCAAGTCATAAATTAATATCTCCCAGACAGAGACTCTGGGATGGTCAGTACTCTTCCCAGGTCACAAGCTTTGGGTGGAGCCTGTGTTGGAACCTCCTCTCTGGTTCTGAAGCTCAGGCTGTGCCCCCCTAGAGCCCATTAACCACTGAGATCACTAGTGACGCACCCGTACCCAGGGGAACCTGTAAACCCAGCAGATCATAAGGATCATTTTAACTGCCCGACAGTCATAAAGGTAATTGTCTCTCCTGGTACCACTGCTGAATTATTTGAAACTTGGTCTTCTCTAAACTTTGATATTCTGGACTTAAAAGAGAATGACACATACAAACTTATATGAGGTATAGATCAAAAAAGTTTTAGAATGTAGTATTGTTTTGGCTTGATACCACAGGACAAGAATAAGTAGGTCCCTTACCTCAAAGATCATCCGTGAAATGCCCTTCGTAAAAGGGATTGCATTTTGCCATCTCCCTAAGTCAAAGGGAAGGAAGTTTAGTCCAAGTAAAGATAAACAAGATTGTGGCTTTTAAAAGCCCAGGATATTAGTTACAGGGATAAAAACACATTGATGAATCTCAGAAGGTAATAATAGCTTTTAAAGAATTTTAAACGGCAAATCCAGGGTCGAGTTTAATTTAACTAAGGCCATATATTTTTCAACAAATATTTAATGAGCAGCTTCGGTGTCCTAATGCACAGTGCTGTGTGACGTTAAAACTGTACGAAATAGGACCCATGTCCCTAAACTCTGCCCTTCAGCTGCTTGCAGCCCAGCATAGGACACAGCAGTGTGGGAAGGGTGTTTCAGATTCAAAGCCTGGCCCATTGCAGAGGCGGTCAGGAAAAGCAGTATGGACAAAGGGGCTTTTAGGCTGAGCCCCAGTGAGGACATGTAATTTACTGTTGAGCATTGATTCATTGCCTACTTCTTGCCCTGCAGGCAACATTACCGCTGACCCACAGTGTGGATCTGCAGTGGTTGGTGGAGTGGAACGCAGTCCTGGTCAATAGCCATTATGACGTGAAGAGCCCTTCCCATGTCTGGATATTCGCTCAGTCGGTCAAAGACCCCTGGGTTCTCTGCCTCTTCAGTTTCCTGCGGCAGGAGAACCTGCCCAAACACTGCCCCACAGCCCTCAGCTATGCCTGGCCATACGCCTTCACTCGGCTCCAGTCCGTCATGCCCCTGGTAGACCCCAAGTAAGGGAATTGCATGTCCTCCTCGGTGGTGTTGATCATTTGCCCTCTTACATTCTCCTTTTATCTAACAGATTGGCATATTATAATCCTCTCTAGTTTCTGTGTTTCCTAATACAGACTCCTAAACATGGAGTAAAAACTGGTCAAAAGTTCTTTTTTTTTTTTTCTTGTCCAGAGTTCGTGTTTTCTTTTCCTTAATAATCCCCAGTATAGACTGTCAGACCCTTACTGGTGAAAACAGTCTTCAAGTTCTATTCAACTTCCCATCCAGTGGAGACATTCCCTGTCCAGATTGTTCTTAACAGCATAGACAAGCCTTGACAGACAGTTTGTTCAACTCTATTTGAGCCCTTCCTAGGATCTTTATTTAGTAAGTGATATTTAAAGTCCAGAACTTACTTTCACTCCTGTTTTCAAATCCGTATTTCTAGTAGCCCAATTAATGCCAAGAAAACCAGCACTGCCGGCAGTGGAGACAATTATGTTACCTTGTGGAGAAATTACCTTATTCTTTGTTTTGGAGTTGCAAAACCCAGTATCATGAGCCCGGGACACTTAAGAGCGTCCACTCCAGAAATCATGGCGACCACACCTGATGGTACAGTGAGCTACGATAACAAGGTGACGTGACATGCTTCAGAAGAATTATTCTGTAAGGTTTTTTTTTAGCTTGTTTGTCTAGAGTTCACAGTGCACATTGCACTGTGCCTGCCATCTGGAGTCTGTGGGATCAGATTTTCATCCTACACATTTCTAAATTCCATTGAGCGTTGATGTGCATAATTTATTATTCCTCCCTGACAAGTGGAGAACTGAAGATAAAGAGAAGTTAAGAAACTTGCTTAAACCATAGAGTGACTTATATTTATTAGCGCCCTGAGGTTTGGTTCCTGCCCTACAAACCACATTTCTCTCACTCTTCGCCAAGTATTTGCCCTTAAACCATGCCTTGATTAAATGATCTTGTTAAGAATGGTTTTGTTGACTTAATTGGTTTTTTTTTTTAAAAAAGAAGACTTATGATAAAAATATTCTTTAGAATTTGTGTCCCAGGTAAAAAATCCATTCATTGCGCCGTTTTGAAATTGATGTCTGTCTGTGTTTTTTTTTTTTTTTTTTTTCTTTCTTTCTGAAATGATGGCAGTGCTTTGGGATGTGGTTTAGTACTTTGAAACTGTTATAATGGAATCATCATTTGATTAAAGGAAGCATCTGTTACCATGTTACCTCTTTTTCACTTTTAATCAACTTGTTTCAGGCCATAGGTACCCCATCGGTGGGAGTTCTGTTAAAGCAACTGGTGCCTTTGATGAGACTAGAGGGCATTGAGATCACAGAGTCCTTAGTTTTAGGATTTGGAAGAACAAATTCCCTTGTTTTCAGGTACGGTCATCTCAATGAGGTCTTCTAAATTCATTCCTGCTGCTGCTCTCATTAATTTTTAGTTCCTGTTTTTAACTTGAGTTTGAGTTTGTGTTTGCGTGTTGGCATGTGCCTGGGGAGTTTATAGGCTTTGCTCCATTTCCTTTGTGTCCACTTGGCTTGACGTGCATGGAGCAAGCATCCTCGTGACTGCCTTCGCTTGTCCCCTGTGGTCCTTGCAGCTTTGATTTGACGTCTCAGATTTTATCTCATGTGCGCAAGCTTCTTTTAGAGAACCATAAGTGAAGATAATTCAGTGTCCATCGCCAGTGAGCCAGACTGTTCAGAGGCTTTGCTGTCAGAACAATGAGGTCTGCTCAGCGGCCGTTTATAAATGCAACAGGCTCTCACAGCTTAAGCATTGACAGAACCCTTTCAGGAGTATTCTGTTACACTGGCCCATCTCTTTAGAAGGTGCTTTAGCTGCCTTAATAGAACCATCATGTCTCACTTTCTGGATTCCTTACTCATTTCACACCTTTAATCAAATAACCATTCCATCTGAGGCAGTGTCAAAGCCTTTTGAAAGAGCCATCATAAAGTCTTAGCTCGGGCTGCCTCCGGTGACTTCAGCAAAGCAATGAGCGCCTATAAGCACAATTAAAATCCTGACTTTTTTTACATAAATAGAAAGGGAAAGTTCCAAGCATCTGCGAGAAACCCTATTTGAAAAAGAAAAATTAATGAGACATTTTAGAGGCCATTGAAAAAAAAAATCCGTTACATTATTCACATATACAGTCAGATTTTATTCTTAAAAAAAATAGTGAGTTCTGATACTTGAGTGACAGCTAACCAGTGTTTTACTCCTTATTACTTAAGTAGTTAAGACAAAGAATCATGTAGAAATACTACAGGAAAATAAGAAAAACAATTCCTGGAATTACCTAACATTCTTTCCCAAAGAGCCTAAGAACCTAACATTCTTTCCCAGGGACATGTGCTCTTGTACATCTTACCCCCTCAGTATTCCTCGGGTGGCTAAGATTATATAATTTATCAGCCATGTGGGTCTGGAAAACATAATGTCTCTGGGCCTCAGTTCCCTCACCTGTAAAATTGTTACAATAAATAAAAAACGTATCTAATAAACAAGAAAAATTATTATAATTTTAGAATCAATCTTACAGAGTGAGAGGATTAAATGTAAAAATGTATGAAAAAAATTAAAAAATAAAAAATGTATGCAGTAAATATTCAGCAAATGGTTGCTGTTGGAGGAGATCATTAATACTATTTCCATTTCTTGGATGAAGAAATGCTGGCATCTGTGTTAGAGAAATCTGAAATGGAATGCAGGTTTTCTGTCTCTCGGCACAGAATGCCATGAAGTGTACCTTCCTAACTTCGGATTTCCCTGGAGGATGATGTCTAATAGCACAAAACATCCAGCCAGAATATTGCAAGGTGCTCAGGCATAAAATACTTGGCAGCAGGCTAGAGCTCATAATTTTGTTGTCTTGACATAGCAGTTCATAAATTATTTCCCAAAGAAGACAAATAATTAGATTCACGGATAGAAAGCTGAGAACTGGAGATAATGGGAACAAGTGAAAGATAGATAGATAGATAGATAGATAGATAGATAGATAGATAGATGATCAAACTTATTTTTACTTCACTAGAGAAAAGGTTTTGATGAAAACCTCATTATTATAATACTTGCCATAATTTGCATTTATCCTATAGCTCAAATAACGGGTTTATCTTTGAACCTCCAAAAACACTTGATTTTAAAATCAACTGTCAGTTCCCTGAGCACAGATCCCAAAAGTAGTGCCATGACAACTGCCCCCGTCTCTTTTGCTCTAGTTAGACTGAAAATGTCTTCTGTGAGGGACTCAATTTTGTTTATCTTCATCCCCACTGCCTGTAGTAAAGTGTTTTGATTTTAAGAGTCACTTACAAAATATTGTTTGTTTTAGCCATTTAGAGAGGGTCTTTTGCCATAGAGGACTCCAGAACAGGAAATCAAAATCAAGTCAACAAATATGTATTGAGCCAAAATTATATACGTAACACTGGGATGAAAACCGGTAATACAAAGCTTAGGCCAATACCTAGTTCCAGTTCACCATGTGACTGAGAAACAGAAAGGCCAGGGTGCGGCATTTTGAGGTCAGAAGCAAAGTGAGAAAAGTACATGACTTAGGATTGAATGGATATATTTGGTGACAAACTTGGTGTCAATAATAATGAATTTCAAATGTTGACATTTTTCCTCCGTAGAGAATTGGTAGAAGAACTTCATCCATTAATGAAAGAAGCTCTGGAACGAAGACCAGAGGTAAGATTTTTAATTTAAATACTTCATGCCTCAGTTTATTTGGACAGTGGTATAAATTTAGATCATACTTAATGGTTTCCCCTAAAAAAAAAAAAAATACAAACACCCAGAATGCTTTTAACAGTGAATCTTAATATTTTAAATTTGTTATTTTTATTATTGCTCAGTATTTGAGTATTTAGTATAATACGGTTCCTATTTTAAAAGATTTTGTTCTAAACTCATGAAGGCAAAACAACCTAGATAGTCCTATGTATGTAAAAATATTACGTCCTTTTGCAGGAGGTTTGAGTTGATTGAATTTTGGGTTTTAGCTGGTTTACTTATTCTTCACAAGGAGTTGGATGGTCAAGAATATCATTTGTTTCATCTGGCGTAGGCAGCATTTTCCTCAACATTATCTTCCCTGGTGTGAACTCTGAAAAGGACAAACTTACAATGTATCAGGATAAAAAATAAAGAATACTTCCCATATAGTAGATAAGATAGAAGAAGTAGCAGAATTTTAGCAGTGCGACTTGCATGACCAGAACTGGTGGGATTCTTTGTGTCCAGTGTCCCTGTGTTTCAGTGACTCCGTCTTTCAGTAGATGCTGGAAGCATCTAGGAAATGAGGCTGATTAGTTCTCAACATTGCCACCTTGTAAATATTTATTGACCCACTTAGGATCTGTTTCTTTTAGAGCCTGTAATAGCAAGCATTTTCTCTAAGGATTTGGAAGAGAGAAAAATACCCTCGTCTTTTATGTTTAGGAAATTGAGAATAGCTAGATGATGCTTTTCTTTAATACAGTTTCCCAAAGCAAAGTTATTATTGTTTTGCCCACGTGCATAAATGGTATTACCTCTTTCTACACAGAATAAAAAACGCCGAGAACGGCGGGACTTGTTAAGGCTACAACTACTTCGAATTTTTGAGCTTCTGGCTGATGCAGGTGTCATAAGTGACAGGTAGGGTGAAAATTCGAATGAGTTCATCTCTCCTCAACACTTTTTGCCTCTCTTTCTTCCTGTCCTTCTTTCCTTTTTTTTTTTAAATATGTTACCTTTAACTTTTACTCAGAAAAGTCAAAAAAAGCTTGTTGTTGTTGTTTCATATTTATTTACACTGCCCGTGGGTCAGGAACAAATTTAGTGTGCGAGTTCTGACAGTGAATCTTATTTTCCATGAAGCATTTACTACTCTGACATAAAGACTAATCATCTGAAAGCTTAATTTTTTTTTTTTTTTTTTAAATTCCAGCACAAATGGAGCCTTAGAACGGGATACTTTAGCCCTTGGAGCTTTGTTCTTAGAATATGTGGATCTGACCCGCATGCTCCTAGAAGCTGAAAATGACAAAGAAGTAGAAATTCTTAAAGATATCCGGGCACATTTTAGTGCGATGGTCGCCAACTTGATTCAGTGTGTACCAGGTACAGCGATGCATCACTGTGAAGTCCCTTCGTGCTTGAAAAACCCTTTGTGTTCCTCACTGCTCTGCTTTCCTTTTTCATCCTACGGGCCTGTGTGCAGGTCTGGGACGGGGTCCTTCATTTATTTTGAACTACTTCGGAATACACATGGGAACAGATTGTGGTAATTCAGCACAGAGTTGGAAAGGCAACAAGAGGAGTTAAATTTGGCTTTGTGCTTATCCCATTATTTCTATTCTTTGTTTGGGTTCCCATCTGAAAATGAATCTATGCAATCTCCAGAGGAAGGAAGTAATTCAGGGAGAACATTCACAGAGGCTTCATTTCTTCCTTCTTATTGTGCTCATCTGTGAACATGTGATCCAGCTCCACAGTATTCCTCCTCTTGACTCTCCCAGCAACCCGTTCTATAGAATTCTATAGAGCTTAGTAAATTATACCATTGAGAGGTTTGGTTTTTTTCCATAGAGCAAATGGGTATGAAACCTTTTCATCTAATAAAAGCGTAGAGAATAAAAATAGCTGGCCAGTGTGGTATAAAAATTACTGTATTTAAAAATGTTGACATAACTACAAAAGGTCACAGTTCAACTGGTTCTACTTTTTCCATTATTTTGATGTTGCAAAACCTTCTTCTTACCAGTCCTCCTCCTCTTGGATGACCCTAAGTTAAGATTTGAGTGGACTTCTTCAGTTAGAGTGTGTTTGTTTCAAATGGAGGTCTATACATTATATTTCACAGTACTTTCAAAGACGGGCGGCAGCAGTCAAAAGAACGTTTCCTCTGTGAGAAGCAGCTGAGTGGGAGGTATTGCAGTTTTCCTCGACATTGATTAGAAAGTGGTGTCTGCCGGTCCACTTTTTCTTTCTGCTTCCCACTCTGGACAAGGTGTCACCGACTGCAGCATGAGGAGAGGACTCTACACTTAGAGAGAAAATTAGGCTTGCCTTCTTAAATGCTCCTTTCATTACCTAAAGAAAACTCGAGTTAGGAAATAGAATTACTCCTTTTCTCAAAATGTAAGAATCATGTATAATAGTGACGTAAACTGTATTCACTATACTTTTCAGTCTAGGAGACTCTTAACTCTGTGTTTTTCTTTCTAGTTCACCACCGAAGATTTCTGTTTCCCCAGCAAAGCCTGAGGCATCATCTTTTCATCTTATTTAGCCAGTGGGCAGGACCCTTCAGCATTATGTTCACCCCTCTGGATCGCTACAGTGATAGAAATCATCAGATTACAAGATACCAGTATTGTGCATTAAAGGTAGGGCAACTTTGTCTCGGGGAATAACTTTTGTCAGACCGTCTCTCCTTAAATTAACAACCTTTCCTTAAACTGACAGCCATGCCTTAAATAAGGTTAAAGTAACTAATACGATATGATAAAATATACGTGCACATGCAATACACACACACACCCAGAAATACATAAGCTGATTTTTTAAAATTCCAAAACATACACACGTCAACGTAGACAGTTGTGTATAAATATGTACATATTCCAGTTGGGCTCTCAGTTTCAAAATACAAAACTTTTCCCAGCTCTCACTTTTATCTAGTGCATGAGAACCACATGGTTTTGCTTATTTACCTGTAAGTAACTACCTTGTCAGTTAGCTTTACAACCTGCAAGATCTCTATGTTACCTCAAATGCAGAATCCACCAAAAGCCACATTCCCTTTTTAGTCTCCTATTGTAGAAGACTCCCCAAAGTAAATTTCCACAAATAGGGCTATTCAAAAATTTCACAAGCATGATTCCTTACAGCCTAATGACCTTTAGAAAACTGTGTATTGGCTCTGTCATATATACTGGAAGTTTGCTGACTCTCCAGTTGACTCTTGCCTCAGTGAAGCTGATTTAAACCATGGCCCTCATAGTCATGGCGACCTACTAATTACAAAGTGAATCAAGATCGCCCCTTCTCTTGCATTCCCTTGCTTGCTCTCCTCCTCCAAGTAACTAAAGTTTATATTCCTAATTTTTTCCTTTGATTAAGAATCATAATTGTTTATTTCCATGTTTTCCATGGTTTGTCAATTTAGTACATTAGTCAAATATTTGTCACCAAAGCAAAACTTGAAAAGCTGTATTTACCTTATAAAGCAGAACTTATTCACGTAAAATCACTGAAGGTAAGTTTTAAATACTGTGAAACGGTCATTTCATTGTGAGTATCTTACTCTTTCATCGTAAAGATTTGTTATCATCATAAAGTTTTATGTCCATGAAGTTAAATATATGGCTTTTAATTCTTATTTAAAAATCCAAAATTGGGAATCTGGTCCTTTTTATTTAATTTAGGAAGGAATACTTTACCATCTTGTGAAAATAACTGCTTTAGAACACCCTCATCATTTACAAATGTGGTAGTTATGTTTTAGGGAGTCGGTTGTGTGTTACTAGATCATTGCCGGTTTCGTTCCATGTTGGGTGGTTTCGTTATCAGGCGATGTCAGCGGTGTTGTGCTGTGGCCCTGTGTTCGACAACGTGGGCCTTTCCCCGGATGGCTACCTGTACAAGTGGCTTGACAACATTCTGGCTTGTCAAGATTTACGAGTAAGTATTAGCCAAAAATACATTGTATTTATTTATTTGTTTGTTTGTTTATTGTGTGTGTGTGTGTGCGCGCGCGCACACACACAACACAGAGACTTATACTTCTGTGGCTGATTTGAAGATCATTCTGTGAACAATGCTCATGCACTTTAGTAACCCGATCAAGGCTGATCACCCTAGACAGAATGATCTTCAACATCAGCCACAGAAGTCTAGGTCTCTGTGTTGCACACATTACACTATGATGCATCAGGATAAAAAACACAACATACTTACCAAAGTTGACCATCAGCTGGGCCCGAAAGCAAGTCTCCATGAAGATCATATGATTGAAATGACACAGACTATTTTCTCTACTCACAGTGACAATAGGCTAGTAATCAATAAGAAGAAGATAATTAGGGCGCCTGGGTGGCTCAGATGGTTAAGCGTCTGCCTTCAGCTCAGGTCATGATCTCAGGGGCCTGGGATTGAGTCCCGCATCGGGCAGGGAGCCTGCTTCTCCCTCTCCCCCTACTGTTCCCCCTGCTTGTGCTCTCTCGCTCTCTCTGTCAAATAAATAAATAAAATCTTTAAAAAAAAAAAAGAAGAAGATAATTAAGAAACGCTCTTCCAGATAACTAGTGAGTCAAAGAACAAATAACAATAGAAACTGAAAATTATTTTTTACCTGAAGAATAACAAAATACTACATACTAAACTTGTGGGCTGTAAATAAAGCCTTGCTCAGAATGAAACATATAGCCTTGATTATATATATTAGAAAGAAAAAAGGCTGATCATCAATGACCTAAGCATCCATCTCAAGAAGTTATAAAAAGAATAGCATATCAAACTGAAAAAAAAGTATAATGAAGGGAATAATAGAGATGAAAGGAGAAATTAATGAAAAAGAAAAAAATTAATAGAGATGATAATTTAAGTCAAAAGTTGAATTTGTTAAGACTAATATAATTCATGGCAAGTCTGATCAAGAAAGAGAAAAGACACGTGTCACCAACATCAGAAATATAAAGGGGACATCCCTACAAATGGTAGATATTAAAAAGAAAAAGAGAACATATGAACATATTTGTGCCAATAAACCTGAAAATTTAGGTAAAATGGACAAATTCCTAAAAAAAACACAACCCAAAAAGGAAAGAAAATCTGAATAGTCATATAAGTAATAAAGAAATTTTACCTGTAATTAAAAGTCTTCCTACAAGGAAAACTTTAGGACCAGATGGCTTTACTGATGAGTTTAACATTTGAGGAACAAATTGCATCAATTTTATACAAAATCCATAAAGAGAAAACAGCTCAAGAAGAAATACATCCCAACATATTTTATGAGACCAGCATAACATTATTACTAACACCTGCCAAGGATTTAATGGGAAAAAAAATTAAAAGGCAATTTTATTCAGGAGCATAGATACAAAAATGTAAATAAAATATAAGGAAATTGAATTTGATGATGTATAAAAATGATTCGTCATGATCAAGTTGGCATTATGCAAGAACTTCAAGATTGATTTAATGTTCAAATAGCCGTCAATTCTTAGTATGTTAATTATATTAATAGAGCCTCAAGAAGAAAATACATGATCATCTCAATAGATGCAGAAAAAGCATTTAATAAAATTCTACATTTATTTATGAGAGAAACTCCTAATAAAACTAAGAATAAAAAAGAACTCTTAGTTTGATAAAGGGCGTCTAAAAAAAAAAACCCTATTATAAACATCATACTTAATGGTGAATATTGAAAGTATTCCCTGAGATTGGAATGACCAAAGACGCTTGCTTTCACCGCTTCTATCAACATTATACTGAAGATCCTAGTCAATGCATTGGGAAAGAAAAAATAAGATACCAGGAGTGAAAAAGAAGAAATTAGATTATAGATATAAATGTGAAAGCTAAAAAAACTGAAGTTTCTAGAAAATAATACAAGAATACAGGAGGAAATCTTAATCCCTGGGGTCTAAGTAAGGTTTCTTAAACAGGATGCAAAAATTCCTAATTGTAAAAAAAGACCAGTTAATAACTTCCTCCAAAAGACACCATTAAGAGTGTGAACAGGCTAGCTACAGAGTGAAAGATGTTTGCAAGATAAAACCAGCACTTCTTATCTAGAGTATATCAACGATCCCTTCAAATAAATAAGATAGAGACATCCATAGAAAAATGAGCAAGTGACTTAAGCAATTTAGAAAAGAGGTTATTTTAATGGCCAATAAACATAAGAAACTGTTCTCAAGCTCATGAGTAATCAGAGAGATGCAGACTCACCACAGGAGATACTACCTCAAATCCACCAGAATGGTGAAGATTAAAAAGATGGACAATGTCGACGAGGAAATAGAGCCACAGGAACTCTCATAGAAGACTACAGAGAGTAGAAATCGGAATAACCACCTTGGAAAACTGATTGGCATTATCTACTAAGGTTGAACATAAGACACCCTACGACCCAGCAATTGTACTCAGATATATATTTCATAAAATATATATCCAGTATGTGCAACATAAGACATGTACAAAATTGTTCAAAGCAGTATTATGAAGTCAAAAGCTGGAAACACCCAACGTTGATCAGTATAGAATGAACACATTGTGAAATAATCATATATCAGAATACAACAGTGACAATGAATGAATGTGGATGACTCTCATACATGAGTTGTATGAAAGAAAACAGACACAAAATTATAATCTATATAATTCCATTGCAGAGAGTTCAAAACAGCCCAAACTAACCAATGGTGGTGGAAGACAGGATAGTGGTTCCTTTGGAGGAGAGAGAGACTAGTGATAGGACAGTGCCTAAGGCTGGCTTAAGTGGTGCTGGTAATGTGGTATCTACGTCTGGTGTTCACACTGGGGTGTTCAGTTACAGTAACTCATCATTTACCTGTGAATTATATGCTATGTATCTTACACTCCAAAGTAAGGTTTCTAAAGCTCAATAAAAACTTGCTGATTTTCTTTCACGTCAAACTAACTTCTTAATGAAATGTTATTTTTAAGTCCTTTGTAATAGTATCATTAGCTTTTATCTACTGCTAATTACTTAAACCTGTGGGGAACTAGGCTGATGATGTTTGGCCATCCAACGAGAATATTGCTCCCATCTTAGTCCACACCCTATTGTTTAAAAAAAAAAAAAAAAAGCCAGAACCTTTCCTTCTCCACCTGGTCGCAACTGGCAAGAGAAGGAAACAGAAGGAGACAGGAAAATGTTACTCTCTGAAGGGAATATGGCCTCCAGGCACCAGGCTTCTCCTGGACAAATGTGACCATCCAGTATTTGACAGTAGCTTCAGGAACGGTCAATAAAGGATCCATTAATTCTATCTGGTATGATGATCAATTCACATGAGAGTCTATGATTAAGAAGAGTTTATAAGAACTACATTTCTTTTTAAAACATTGCCAGCTAAGTTTAGTAATCAAGCCCCATAAATATATTCTGATTTTTTTCCTCAAAAGACTTACACGCATAAAGGCCATCCTTTGTATACTTAATTTTTAACAAGATACATACATACATACATAACAAGATACAAAAATATTTTAAATGCAATAAGGAAACATTGCCAACAAAGTCTTTATTACCTTTTCAGAATTAAAATTTAAGAATAAGTGAACCCTATATATGACACATTTACAGAGTCTGATTTAGTTTATACATACATTTCAGTTTTCAGTTGCAACTTTGCATCCTCTTAAAGAAGAATATGCGGAATAAAAATTAAGTTGAAGGGACACCTGGATGACTCAGTCAGTAGGGGGCACAACTCTCGATCTTGGGTTTTGTGAGTTCGAGCCCCATGTGGGGTGTGGAGATGACTTAAAAATAAAATCTTAAAAAAAATTAAGATGAATACTCTGTCTCCACTTTCATTTTCCCCAGTTTATGTTGGCTAAGCATGATTTTGTGTCTTTCCCTGGAATAACTTTTCATTAAACATGAATAATTGCTTTCCTCCATGTATTCAGGTTCATCAACTTGGCTGTGAAGTCGTCATCTTGCTATTGGAACTTAATCCCGACCAAATTAATCTTTTTAATTGGGCAATTGACCGATGCTACACAGGTTCCTACCAGCTTGCATCTGGCTGCTTCAAAGCCATAGCAACTGTGTGTGGAAGCAGGTATGAATCCTTGCAAGTGAAAGGTTTTTAAGTGGCAAGTACAATGAAAGTTGCTCTTCATGATATGAATATGTGAGGGCTGACGGTTTTGCAATTATCTGAGCAGAGTAAATTCTAAAGAAGTACACAATGGCCAATATTTCCCCAGCAGATAGACCACTCCCTATAAGTCTGCAGCTACAATGATTTTTCTCATTCTCCTGAAGAATGATTTGTCCTTATAGCATACTTCTTATTAATTGCCCGGAAGTTCACAGGAACGAATACGAGCAGGATTTGAAAATGATAAAGAAGGTACATTAAAGGAATTAAAGGAGTTTCTAGAAATGTTTGTGACAGGTGTGAACTGTAAGCCCTTTAGCCATCCTGAGACCAAACTAAACCCAGGAAGCAACGTAAGAATGTTACATTGCTCTATTAAAAAAAAAAAAGTAATGGCCACCTGGGTGGCTCAGTCGGTTAAGCATCTGCCTTCGGCTCAGGTCATGATCCCAGGGTCCTGGGACTGAGCCCTGCATTGGACTTCCTGCTCAGTAGGAAGTCTGCTTCTCCCGCTACCCTTCCCCCCCTGCTCGTGCTCTCTATTTCTCTCTCTCTTAGACTCAAATAAAATCTTAAAAAAAAAAAAAAGGTAAAAGGGGGTGCCTGGGTAGCTCAGTTGGTTAGGCATCTAACTCTTGATCTCAGCTCAGGTCTTGATCTCAGGGTTGTGAGTTCAAGCCCTGCATTGGGCTCCACCACTGGGTATGGGTCCTACTTAAAAAAAAAAAATTTTTTTAAGTTACATCTCTCTTGCCCAAAACTTCAGAAAGGAAGAAAAGAAAATGTGACACCCTGGGTTCCATAGATTACACTTATAAAACCACACTCTCTAGTTATGTAAATTAGCCCCTCAGTGAAGTCATGCAGCACTGTAATTTATTGAGTGAAATAATTTCACTATTTCACTGAAATAATTTCATAGCCAAAATGAAAGGGTTAATGAAGACCGCAAAGTGTATAAGCTATTCCCAAGAAAGAGCTTATGTATTGGAAACTGAGAGAAGGCAGCTCAAGTTAATTTTTGAAAAGACTCATATAGACTATTGATTTTTCCTTTTTAATTAAATGTTGAATTTTAAATAGCTACCTTGAGCTACCGGATGAAGGGAATAAAGTGAATGAGCTTTAAATTCTGACCTATTACAACCTATTCTGTTCTAAATTAATAGGAACAGAATATTAGAAGACCTCTACTTTCAATAAACCTAAAATGAACATGCTATTTCAAGAGAGAGGTTTTTCTTTAAAATTTTTAGCTTTCATTTTTAAAGACAGTAGATAACATTTCACATCTAAAGCTTACATTTTCTATAATCTTAATAGTAGAATGTTTATTATACATTTTAATCTCAGTAAAAGTTACAGCAGATGAATATAATCTAAACTGTCCAGTTTGCTATCATTTTATTTCATGATGTTAACATTATGAAATGATAGTTATACCTATAGAATATTACCAAAATAGCAAATTTTTTTGCAAAAATCTTTCTCCAGAGTGTGTTTTTATTTTCAGATATTTTGATATTTTAAAAATAAATTTGTTCACATGACTCTTTGATTTTGAAAATATAGAATATGACTTGGACCCTAGATCCCTTTGACAAAAATTAAAACAAAGAAGTTTCCTCTCTTTGCTGCCTTTCTCCCAGTGAACTCGATGTGAACTGTCCTAGTCAAATTTATTTCATTGCATGGCCATCTCATAAAATATTGTACTGCATTCCTTTGGGTGAATGTAGGTATTTTCCCTTAGAGGGAATGTCTATGAATTTATGTCTATGAATTTAGCAATATAATCTGAATTTCAGTAATATCTCCAGTCACAAAAATATTAAATCATAAAACTCCCCATATTTAGATTTTTTAAAGATATTATTCCAAACTATTCTGCTTTCTTAGACAAATATTGCAGATCAACTTAGGTTCACGACCCTCATGTATCCGGCAGGAAGGTTCGAGGGCCAGACATCGACATGGCCGCAACCTGTCCGCCAAGAGACTAGCCAACCCTTCTGTCATTTGTCACCACGGGGCATGTTCAGAATTTAAAATTTCAGCTGTGGCTTAAATTTGCTCTCTCTCCTCATAAATTCTCAGTCTGCATAGTCTGGATAAGCCTCGGGATTTGTTCGAACAATCTTTGTACTTACATTTTCAGTACTTTTTTTGAAAGCAATTCCGGTGTTTTAGCTTTTGCTTTGTTTTCCACAAGTTTGCTCCTAAAAACACCTAACCACCTTCTGTTATGAAATAATATGTTCCTGAAAACTCATGCCTAAACTGGGTCGTATTTTAACTTTCTCAAACAAATTATCTGTACAGTAACTCCTACAAGTCATATTCTAAAGTGAAGAATCTTTCTTGTAAAGAATTATCTCCTCCTTTTCAAATAGAAATGAACATATGCTGGATTTTTTTTTATAGGAATATGGCAGTTTATAACCAGACTCATTTATTAAGGAACCATTTACAATTACTATAAAATACATAAAAAAATTGAACATTTAAAAAAATGCTCCTGAATAAAACTTTCTACTTTTGGTTTTAGAAGAGGGAATTAGCCATTTTTGCATAGTTTAATATATCAATCCCTTTATTCATCAGCTGTGATAATGAAAAAAAAATAGTTCTCTATGTTCTTTTTTTGTTTCTTTTATTTCTATAGAGGACTCTGTGTGTGCGTGCGTGTGTGTGTGTGTGTGTGTGTGTTGTGAACTTGGTGGAATCTAATCAAAACTGAATGTAACTATAACTCTGATATATCCAGTGATATTGAGAGATTTGGAAGTCAGTGTGGATCTCAAATAGGACCAGGAGAAGTGAGGATAAAAGTAGAAAGTGATGGTAGAACTGGTAATATTAATTTTGAAGAATTTTTTTATAAAATATATCTTATATTTGATTAAAAGCTATTAAGTGCAGCTCAGTACTATAATTAAACACAAAAGGAAATAGCTCACCTGTCAGGCAGCATTAATTCAAATACTGTTTGATTTCTGTGTGTCTTCTTATTAACTTCCCCTCAACTCCAAATTATATCAATACAGAACAGATAAAGAAATTGAGAAAGAGATTAAATGGATATCCAACATTCTAAATCAAGGTAAATAGTATGCTTTATATTAAAAGTGTAGGCTATTTCCAGCTAGTGGCTTAACTCAACAAAATTCTCTTCACATTTAATTAAATACTTGAGAGTTCTATTGTTTTTACTCTTACCCTCCAACATACTACTACTATGTATTTAGTAAGTGTTTAAGAATTACATATAAGGCCAAAGTTTTAATTTATATTTTGTTGGGTTTATTTTGGGAGGTGGTTTTTGTTGCCATTGCTGTTTGTATGTTTTGCCTTAAGCTAACTTCTTATAATCTTTCCCAATTTAAATCAGCCCCAGCAAACTTGAATTATTACAAGTAGATGTCCCACATGTCTTAAGGAAATATCATCTATATATTACCAAGGAAGACAAGGGAAGCTTATGATTCATGAATCCTAATCACACTCCCTAGCTGGTGATGCATAACCTCATTTGGTTTTGCCAGTCAGCTGGAGATTTCAAGAGAGCACAGAGTTTAGGAATCTGGGCTCAGGAAATGTGCTGTCTTGAGCTTGAATTTAGCTCTGCCTCTAATCAAGCTGTGTGCTCCTGAGCAAGTTACTATAAACACTTACTGATTTGTAAAATGGGAACACTAGTATGATTAGGTTAAACCAATTAACCTAATGATTAAATTAAACCAATCTTTCCTTTTAATATGGTACATGGTAGCCTCAGAAATTGCAACCATGTACAGAAATGCATGCAGGATATTTACTACTGTATTTTAAAACAGTGAAAAACAACCTCAAGTCTGTTAATAGGGGAATGAGTAAATATGGCATTTCTAATCAAGTCCTTAAAAATAGATTTAGGGTGCCTGGGTGGCTCAGTTGGTTAAGCGACTGCCTTCGGTTCAGGTCATGATCCTGGAGTCCCAGAATCGAGTCCCACATCGGGCTCCCTGCTCGGCAGGGAGTCTGCTTCTCTCTCTGAATCTCCCTCCTCTCATGCTCTCTATCTCTTTCTCTCTCTCAAATAAATAAATAAATAAAAAATAGATTTATATATCTGAACATGAGAATATCTGTAAAATATGAATCCAATTTCTTGACCTAAGGCCTAGCACATAGTAGGCACTCTGTAAACACTTACTATTCAATAGCTATTGGAAGTAGAAAGCTATGGTGTAATCCCCTCTATCAACTAATGAAATCTGTTTCTCTCCAGGATACCTCAAAGTTACCCTGAGCTCTGTCATTCCATTTTATATAAGCCAGAGCTAGTGGGTTTCCCAAATTCTTCAAAACCTCCTCTCTTCTAGACTAAAAAAAAAGTCTTATTTTTTGTTTGCTTTCTGAATTACATCTGCCTGTTGTATTTATTTTATGATTTGATTTTTATTCCAAATGATCACAGCTGTCTTTATCTTTTACCCTTCCATGGCCTGCATTGAATAATTTAATACTGAAAGGTGTAAGATTTTGTTTCTAAGCCTCTTTTAACCATCTAAGTACAGATGTTTTATTTGTACTCCTTCACTCTTTTGAGATCTAATTTTTCACTTCTCTGGACTTCTTTCATTTTCTGTATCTGTGTTGTTATTTCTTTCAGTGTTGTTCTCCATAAAGTCCATGGTTCAGTCCTAAGCAGCTAATTGAATGCACTAATTACATAGTCCAGTGCACGGCCCTGCATAGGAGGGAGGCCTTGTCTTCCCTTTTCCTGCCTTTAAAAATCCCCAATGATCCAGCAATATTTGTCAGTGTCCTTTTCTTTTTCTTCAAGTTTTTATTTAAATTCCAGTTAGTATTCTTTTATATAAAAATGCATATGTGTTAAATCTCCGTGTTAGAGACAGCAGCGTAGGTAAGATATCTCTGCCGCCGTGGGGCTCCTGGAGTGTCCTTTCTACTTTCCCAGTCCATTCCGGATGCTACAGTTTGTTAGATTCCCAAGTTATACTGGCTATGAAATGTAGTGTTGTGGGCTGTCCAGGAGGCTGATAGCACTGTGGATAAGTCCATTCTTTGGAGTCAGACTTACCCAGGATACAGTCTAGGCTCTACTCCTTGTACATGAACTTGGTCAAGTACTTAATGTCTCTAAGCCTGTAAGCTTGTCGGGAAGATAAAATAACAAATCTACGTAAAGGCCTTGGCAGAGTAACCAGCACAAAATAGGCAAGTCATAACATAAATGTTACCCATCGTTCTTCATTATCCTCACCACAGCATGTAGGAGGTTTCCCTCGCTTCTCATCTGACAAATCAACCACATGCTTTTTTGTTCATTTAAATGTAAAAGTTCTAGGGACGCCTGGCTCAGTCAGTTAAGCATCTGCCTTCAGCTCAGTTCATGATCCCAGCGTGCTAGGATCAAGTCCCACATTGGGCTCCTTGCTCAGCGGAGAGCCTGCTTCTCCTTCTGCCTGCCCCACCCCTGACAAATAAAATCTTTAAAAAATAATAAAATTAAATTAAAAAATAAAAGTTCCAGAAAAGTAATCATTTTGGAGTGCAAATTAGTAAAGCCATTTTGGAGGGCAATGTGGCAATATCTACCAAAATTTTAATTGCACCCTTTAACCCTGCATCACCTCTTCTAGAAATCTGTTCTAAAGAAATAACATTTGGTGTTATAACAGTGAAAAACATTATAATTATGAAAAAAAAATGAAAATAACCTTTAAATGACTGTTAATACAGGCCTAAGGCTGGATTTCTCAGGAAACAGACTCCGGGGTGGAGATCTGAGTACAGGATGTTAATTAAGGAATGCCCTTGGGGTCAACATCTATGGGGAAGTGAAGGAAGTAGGACTGGGCAGAAGAAAAGAGACCTCAACTAGTCCCACAGGGGCTACTGCTGGGTATGGGCATGTCCTTGACCTGGGCAAATTTCTTTGGCTGAAGGCAATTCCCAGAGAGGGATTCAGCCAGAGGTCTCAGCCTCTAACACTAGTTGGAGGATTGAGTGCCTCAGTCCTGAAAGGGGGATCCAGGTGGCACACCACAGCATCTGCTATAAAATTGGTTTATTTGTGGTGCCATACTATGGAATACTGTGCAGCCATTAAGAAGACTGGGGTAAGCCTCATTCACTGAAAAACTCACCTCCAAACAATACCTATGGGTAGTATAATCACATTTGTGTTGACAATGTGTGTAAGGGAAGGGTACTTATTTATACACATACTTAGAGAAGGGTGGTTGCCTCTAACAGTTGGGAGAGTGAAAGGAAGTGGACACTTCCACATTTTATTCTATACACTTAACCAACAGCCAGCACCAGCTCGCCAACCGTGTGAGTGAACCACCTTCAGAATAGATCCTCTGGCCCTATGCATTGCTTGAACCTTTTTTTTAAAAAAGTTGTATTCATGTATTACTAGAAAGATAAAAGATTAAATTTGATTAATGTCAAAAATGAAAACCATCCTTTTTCGTGTATTTAACCAATGCTCACTCTAATCTCTGATTAAACTTACTGTAAGATGGGCATGTATTCATAATAGTATTATGCCTTTCTAGAAGGGTGATTTTTCAAAAACAGAACTTAGACAATTGTAATTATATTAGAGAATCAAAAAAGGAACCCACAAGAAAATAATGTGTTTTTTTCACCTCCAAGCCATCTTCTGCTTTCTGAAGTTTGCCTCAAAATAAATATCAGTTACTCACTACCTATGGACCGGACCATTCCCTAATTGTTTATCACACCAAGAGTTTTCTATTTATGACCTCTTTTCCACTATAAGAAAAAAACAAACATTTTAAAAAATCATCTTTAAGGAGTATTATATAGCAAGAAAGGAAAATGAATTTAAGCTCCATATTCCATTTGATTATACTGTAATATCCCTATTACACACATTCCATTTGATTATACTGTTAGTTGGCTGGGTTCCTACTCCCCATCCCATGCATGCAATCAATTACCAAATCATGCCAGTTTTATCTCCTTAGTGTTTTTCATCTCTTATCCCCTCCTTTCTGTCTCTACCATTCCTGCCCTAATTCAAACCCTCATCAGCTCCCCTTTGGTGTATTGTAACAGCTCCCAATATTGACCCCCCCTACAAGCCCCTTCTCCGCAGAGCACTCAGGGTGCTTCTTCAAAAGTGATGTCATTGCCTAACTCCCCCACTGCAAATCCTGTAGGATCTCCTTAATTTTTAGGATGAAGTCCATAAGCTGGTTATCTTCTGAACCCACCTATCACCCTAGTCCCATCTTCGGTTCCTCTACTAATTCTTTCACTCAGTCTGCTACACAGAGATTCTTTCCTTTACAGAAGGGATCTTGCTGTTTCATTCTTGTCATCTTTCAAAATGCAGTTGTCTCTGCCTAGAACACTCCCCCATGTTACCCTTTCCATGGCCTGGCTAATGTCTCCTGGTTCTTCAAATCTCAGTTTACTTGTTTCCCCCTTGGAAAAGCCTTCTCTCACCCCATGTGTGGTGTAGGTGTCCCTCATTAGGATTCTGTAGCATGCTGTGGCTCCTGTCATCATAACTAGACTGTATAGATTATCTCCCTAACTCTACAGTAAGTCTGCCTTAGAGGAAGCGGCCAGCCTTACTAACTTAGTATCATCAGTACTGTGCAGTTGTTCTGGTATATGTTTGGTGCTTACAACGTTTAGATGGATTGAATGAAAATATTAAATCAGTGAGCTACTGAGAAATGTAAACGTATCATCTTCTGTTCTTTCCATTTTTATTTGGTTTTCATTAAAATCTATTTACATTAGATTTTTGTGTGTTCATTTATCCTGGTGCAACAATATTCAATTTTAAACAAAAACAGAGCTATTTCTCTTCTTCTAATAAACAGCAAAAGAATGGGGAGGAGGGGCAATGGCCAAATGGGCATGAAAATATCATTAGTAAGTGTCTCTGAGGTCAGTCGCCATCTAGAATTTTGAGAGGTAATGATTTATCAAGATGACTAACCAGACTGTCTTAAAAACTATGCTGTTTTTTGTTTTTGTGTGTGTGTTTTGTTTTAGGAATTATCCCTTTGACATAGTGACATTGTTGAACCTTGTTCTATTCAAGGCCTCTGACACCAACAGAGAGATTTATGAAATCTCCATGCAGCTCATGCAGGCACGTATCATTTACTTACATAGAAACTTCGGAAAGAGGGTGGTTGATACCCGGATGCCTGCTTATTCCTATATATCACTGGTGGGGATATAGAGGAGTGAGAAGACAGTTACATAACCTTCTCTAAACACAGGAACTAACTGATGCTTTACCTTGAATACTATATTAAAATATGCATTCATTACTTTTGTTACCATGAAACTTGATGAAACATAAATCCTCCTGAGTCAGCCAGCCGATGTTTTTTCATACCGTTTCTCCCTTTCCTACCTCTCTGTAGATCCTTGAAGCCAAGCTCTTCGTGTACTCGAAGAAAGTAGCTGAACAGAGACCCGGCAGTATTCTCTACGGAACACATGGCCCCTTGCCACCCCTGTACAGTGTGTCACTAGCACTCCTGTCATGTGAACTGGCCAGGATGTACCCCGAGCTCACCCTCCCACTCTTCTCAGGTACCACGCAAGGACACGTGTGATCATTTCTGCACAGAGTCATCTCCCTTTTATTTTATTTTTTACAAGAGAACAAATCTACGTTTTTACCTATTTACTTTTCAGCAAGTTTAAATCCTTGAGGGGTACAACGTCACATGGACTCTGTGTCCAACAGCCTTAGCAGGAAGGTTGCTTCAGAATTTGGCACAAACCGTGTGGCTGTTTCCATGAGCCAGAGTTACCTTTCCCCAGATTACTCTGGTTTTATTTGGTTTGCCACTAGGAGTCACTGTGTGGTTCTTTGCTTTGTACATATAAGAGTATCTCTTGCCTAGATAGAATTCGGTTTCACCTCAAGCATAAACATCTTCAATTGGGAGAAGAGCTGTGTGTGTTCCTTCTGGTTCCAGAGACCCCTGTTATAGCCAGCAAAAATGGAAAATGGCCTTGGACCACAGCCTTCCAGATACATTTGTTATTTTAGGAGTGCTGTTACCAGCAGGCTTCCACAGGCTTCAAGATGGTGGAAAGAGAATGAGGAGGCCGTAATTTTCCTTCTTCAAGTCTAGTGTCATTTTAGAGTCAAAATTATTGATGCTAGATTTGTAGATCACAATTGCTTTGGACTAACTTCACTTACGTATATAAGGCAATTCTGGAATATATTTAAATATAAAAAGTGTGTTTATCTAAAATAAACGTAGGACAAATGCAGAGATGCTTAGATTAGTCATAATCCTTCTATATACCTTATGTGTGTAAAATTTCCCAAATAAATTAAGTATGCGTGGTATAACTTCTAATACATATAATTGCTGCAAGTTGTTTTTGGTGGTGATGGTGATGGTGTTTTGTACCTTGTATGTTGCTACATTCATAGGTTGTTGAGAGTTTAGATTTTTAGCACATCTTTGCAAGTAGTCTTTGTGAGTAATTTTAAAGAATTACATTTGTTGATTAACTTCCTGCGTAAGGAGCACCTTGCCAAGAGGCTGATTTTGGTCTCTCAGTTGGTCCTCTTTTTCCATCTATGTTACCAGGGCCTTCGTCCAGATCCCCTTCAGTCCCCCCACCCCACCCCTGTCCCAACATCCCCTGCCTGCAGTCCTCAACCCTGCAATCCACCCACTACTCAAAACCAAATATGCACAGCACTTCTCCGCTCAAACTTCTCTGCCCAGCTGTCCTAAAAATAACTGCTGATAATAAGTGTCCATCCATTGAGTGGCCTATACTAGGCACTTTATGTACACTTCATTTATCCTTTGATTTCTGCAACCCCATGAGTAGTGGTTAGAAATGAGACTCTGGGCTTGACAGCCTGGGTCCGTCCCTGGCCCTGCCATTCCCTGGCTGTTTGACCTCGGGCAAGTCATGGAACCTCTAAATTCCATGTCCTTATCTGCAATAGTAACTACCCCAGAGGGTGCAAGGATTAGAACAAGCTGATAAACCCAAGCAGTTAGCCTAGGGCTGGTGTGGAATTACCACCACCACCACTGCAATACCCTTGCTATTTTACAGATGAGATACTAAGGCTTAGAGACATTAAATAATAGGAACTCTTTCACCAATTAAAAAAAAAACCTCTTCTTCCAAACTTGCTTTCCAAACCTTTTCATCCAAGAACCTTCTACTCCCACCTCACTTGACCTTTTACGTGCCAGGCCCTTTTGTCAATCCTTGCTTCTGTGCATGCTCTTCCCTTTGCCAGAAATGGCCCTTCTCTCCTTCTCCCTAACTCCAGTCTTCCTTAAGACCTAACTGAAAATCTGGGGCACCTAGGTGGCTCAGTCAGTTAAGCATCCGGCTCTTGGTTTCTGCTCAGGTCATGATCTAAGGTCATGAGATCAAGCCCCGAGTTAGGCTCCATGCTCAGAGGAGAGTCTGCTTAAGATTCTCTCTCTCCCTCTGCCCCTCCCCCATCAAATAAATAAATAAATCTTTAAAAAAAAAAAAAAAGACAATACCAAGGGTGTCTGGCTGGCTCAGTCAGAAGAGCATGTGACTCTTGATCTTGGAGTCATGAGTTCAAGCCCCAAGTTAAGTGAAAATCTCTCCATCTATCTGCAACAGAATTAGTCACATCCTTGCCTCATGCCTGAAACAATGGGGGGACTCCAGAAAAGCCTTCTTGATAAACTAGTAGTTCTCTTCTTGGAAAACTAAAATCTATTTCTATTCCCGTCAACCAAGATTTGAATGCCACCTCCATGCCAAGTACTGTGCTTAGGTCCTAGGAACACAGATGCGAATAAAACAGTCTCTCTCTCATCAATGGGTCATAATCTAGTAATAAGGAAAGATGTGCAGTCATATGGTTATGATACAGAGCAGCAAGTATAATTTAAAAAAGCACATACTGTGTATGAGATAGAAGATAAGGGGATAATCAGTTATTGGGCCAAGAATATCAGGCAAGACCTCCTAGAGAAGTTGGTGTCTGAGCTGCAGTTGGAAAGGGGAGTAGAAATTTGCAAAGCAGACAAGTAGTTGACATTACAGTTGGCAAGTAGATAGGTATTACAGACCAAGGAAAGAGCACGTGGGTTGACTTAGAGGTATAAAATAACATGCTGCGTTCGAGAGATTATGTAGTGGTCAGTTTGGCTACTACAACATGCAGGGATGAGGGAAAGCTAGAGATGGTCATGGACAGACAGAGAGGCAGAAGTCAAGTCTTGGAAGGCTTTGTATTATTGTATTGTACCCTAAGGAGTTTATAGGACAGTAATCTCTAGGTGCTCCTGAAACCCCTCAGAGCCCTGGGAACAGGAAGGGCATCCAACAAGCTGCTTGGGTTCTGAAAGCCACTGATCAGTTTCAAACAAGAGGCAGGGACAAGAGCAGAATGCATTTTAGAAAGACTGACTGTGTGTGAAGGATGGATAAAAGAACATCCAGTCTAAAGAGAGAGGATCTGTTGAGAAACAATGACAGTGGTCCACAGAGGAAATTATGAAGGCCTGAACTAAGACAGCCCCGTGAGAGTAGAAAGGGGAGACCAGAGTCAAGAGCTTCCAGGCAGGGTACACAGAAGGGAGTCCCTGGTACGATATCTGGGAGGTAGGGGGTGATAGCCCCACCTCAAGAGCCAATCCAGAGAAATGGGAAGGCTAAGGACAAAGCAGAGATCCTGAGCTCAGCTTGGGATATTGAATGTAGGTGTCTGTCAGACATCCCTATGTAGAGACAGACTAGAGTCAAGGGCAGACCAGCGCTAGTGACTTATGGAAGAATAGAAGGGGGTAGAACCAAGGAAACAGATGAGATCACAAGTGGAGTGAACACAGAGAGGAAGAACGCACCCAGACACCCAGCTTTTGAGGACTGGGCCCGGGAAGAGTGAGGGAACAGACAGGGATGGAGGCCCATTCAGAGAGGAAGGAGAACACCTAGAAGGTGGGCGTCATGGAAACCTAGAGAAGAAAGGATTTTGGAGGAATGAGTGAGCAGTCCACAGCCTTGACTGGATCAGAGAGCTCCCAGGAGATACGATCTAAGCATCACCCTCTGGACCTCACAGTTCACAGTTCACAATTATTGGTAACTGTCAATAGTTTCTGCAGAGAAAGTGCAGTAGAAGCCACATCTCAGTGGCTTGGCTGAGAAAGAAGGAAAAGGAGAGGATGGAGCTACAGTGGGATGCAGAGCCTGAGGGTGAGCAGGGGATTTGAGCTTGTTGTTTGGCTGAGGAGAAGCTGGTAGCAGGCTGGGCAACTCAGGGAAGAGGAGGTAAATAGTACAGAGTGTTCAAGAACAAAAGAAGTTCATGCAGTGAGTGGCACGCAGGTGCAATCTAAGTTTTTCTTCAAGAATTGACCTTTGGGCTATTTTGATTTATGAGGAATAACTTGTTTAAAATAACATGGAAACAGGAGGAGGCTGTAGAGATTTTCTAGCTCTTGTTTTCACTGCTTCTACTACTAAAAACCCTGTGGTGAGATTTTTATTGCCTGTAATGTCAGATAGGTTAATTCCTTGGAAGTAGCCAGGTGAGTTGCACAGGTCACTCCCAGAGGAGCCAGAAACTGTACGGAACAGCCATCTCACATTTTTTTTAATTTGTTGCTGGAGGGGTGAGTGGGGGTTGTTTGCATGCCTGTGGTGTTTTCTCCCCCTTTCCCTTCAGAAAGACCTCTACAATCCTGGCCCTGATTTAGGTGCCTCTCCCCACACACACACCAGTTGGACCTTGCGTCTGGCAGACAAGATGTAATAAACATCATAAATAAGCAAATCATGTGATGTGTTAGAAGGTAATCATTGCCTCAAAAAGACTAGAGGTTTTTATGCCACTGTTAAAAAATGTATTTTTAATAGCGGTTGTCCCTCCGATAGGAAGGATTTATTCCCCTCCAAATTCCCGATCCTTTTCTAGCAGAGTTAAAATAGTTCTTTTGCCATAACGTGCCCTGAATCCTTGTAACCAGAAGGCCTTTTCCTCCACCGAACCCCTACAACACTCTGTTTGTTCCTCTTTGTCACTTGCTACCTCGCCCCAGAGTTACCTGTCAACATCACTTGCCTCAGAGCCTCCTCCTCAGGGACACGAACTAAACCTTGAGTCCTTGCTGGCTCCACAGTGCCTAGCACAGTGACTTGCCCCTAGAAAGGCCCCGTATGTTGAATAAATAAATGTTCTGGGATCTGAAGGATCTGAATATGTGTCATAAAAGTTCATGATATCAGTCATCACATCCCTAAAGTTTAGAAATTAAGTCAGTTTTGAAATTTTGAGCTGTGTGGAACATCACAGCTTAACCCTGATTATTGCGGCCCAGCATTAAATATATTCATATTCTTCAAAAAAAAAAAATGGTAATTGTAATTTTAGGAAAAGGGCCAAATCAATTAAAGCTACTGTTTCAGAGATCTAGTGGATTATCTTGGTGTAATTCCTGGCATCTTCGTTGTTCTATTGTTTAGCAGCCAAGAGCTCTCCAAATGAGATTACATGCCACGCTGGGTAATAACAAGTGCATCAGACTGCTTTCGAATTTCCCTTAGGATAAAACCGTTTCTTCTCTAGATGTTAGAAATAAAAGATTACAAGCAGCTTGAAGCATATAAGTAACGCTGTGCTTTTATTTCTATAGAAAGCTTATTCAGATCACAAAATTAAATGCTGCTGACAGTGAAACAAGGCATGAGTGCTATCACAGAAAATAAGGGTGAAATCACTGGGCTGAATGTCCAGTTTTACCCTTTTGATTCATTTATTTCATAAAACAAAGTACAGCACTGAGCATGCGCAAGCCACATAGGTGGCAGTTTTCAAGTCGATACCAGGAACGTGAGTCCACATGCTGGAGGCTCACTTCTCAGTTTTACAGCGCAGAGTTCATGGAAGACACTTGGTAAACTATCGGAAGAGTGGAAAGATAATAGTCCTTGTTACAACAGTCCCGACCACTGTTTATTAAGCTCCTCCTGGGTGCCCAGCGCTGTGCTGAGCATGTAAGATACCTTATGATCCTATCTCTTAATCCTCACAGTGGCCCAAGGTGGTCCCATTCTACAGATGAGGAGCAGAGAGGTTAAATAACTAACACAGAATTTCCTGCAGCTGGTAGGTAACAGGAGCTGGGATCTAATCACATGTCCTGATTCCGAGCCCCTTGTTTTGTCCGCTCTGATGCGCCTCTTCCATAGCAGTGGATTTGAACTCATGAAGCCTCGCGCCTCACTCCACTTTGACCAAGCCCATGCTTTTCCCGCTGTGCTCTCTGACGACGCTCCACAGAGCGCCAGACGCAAGAGACTGGAGGACAAGCCTCACTTGTAAGATTTGGAGGCCTTGAGGAGCTGCTGTATGTGAAAATGCCTTGTACACTGAAGTCACTGTTCCATCTGTCTGCTGGTGTTAATAGCTTCATTTATTTCAATGCGATAACCTACGGCTCTGTGTCACTGCCATTCCCTTTAGAGGTCAGCCAGCGGTTCCCCACGACACACCCAAATGGGCGTCAGATCATGCTCACCTACCTGCTGCCCTGGCTGCACAACATCGAGCTGGTGGACAGCAGGCTCCTCCTCCCGGGGTCAAGCCCCAGCAGCCCAGACGATGACGTCAAGGACCAGGAGGGGGAAGTGACTGCTTCACACGGGCTGAGAGGCAGTGGCTGGGGCTCCCCGGAAGCCACGTCACTGGTCCTGAATAACCTCATGTACATGACGGCCAAGGTAAACTCCGAGGATCCATGCCTCAGAGCACGGCTCTGTCATCCAGGGAACCCCTGGGTTGATCAAACCCTGTGCTGCCCACTCAGGGCAAGCGGCTCTTACCATGAAGAATCGCACAAATAGGGCATGGAGCATGGCGATGGTTGCACAGTGATGTGAATGTACTTCAGGCCACTGAACCGTATGCTTGAAAATGGCAAACTTTATGTTATGTGTGTTTTACCACAGTTTTTTAAAGTAATACAAATAAGAACCCTAACATATTAAAAATCGTGACAATAAGTACGTACATTACTGCTTGGTGCATTGTAAGTTGCTGAAAAATGGCATCTGTCTGAAGAATGGCCATGTCTCCCCCTTCTTAGGATTTTGAGATGGCCGTGACCCTTATAACAACTTTTAATCAAGCATTTTGCATCCTGCCATTTTTCCCACACGTCTCCCGGGCTGGTTTTTCTCTTGTGTGTTATAGTACGGCGATGAAGTTCCTGGACCAGAAATGGAAAATGCTTGGAATGCTTTAGCCAACAACGAGAAATGGAGCAACAACCTGAGGATCACCTTGCAGTTCCTGATCAGCTTGTGTGGGGTTAGCAGCGACACGCTTCTCTTGCCCTATGTAAGTGTCCCTCAGACTCTCGGGAGTCACTGCTCCTGTTGGTTGTATTTGCAGCTGCGAGTCAGAATGTGCTCTTGGCGCTGAGTAAAATGGAGATGTCAGATTTTGTCAGTCATGCTCATCTCCCAGGAGCTCATCTACATGTTACATAAAGTGTCCTTCTGCCCCCTGAGAAGCAGGCTACAGTGTCCTAGGGACACCTGTCATCCTCTTTCTAAGCCTTTGGACACAGAAACTTATGAATTAAAGTGGATATTATCCTAACAGCTACTAAAAGCTGCCTTCTGTAAACAGTAGACCCACTATATAAGAGAAACTCAGTAACACATTATATTATGACTAATAAAAATGCTTCATGTTTACATCTTGATGCTCTTAAAACAGAATAAAAATGGGGAGTATCCAGGTGTTTCTCTTCAAATGTAAGTGTTAGGAGAGAAATAAGCAGAGAAAAATCTTCCTGAGATACATGATATTTAGTGTTTGTATTTAAAGGTGATCTGATCAATAAAATGACAACATTTTTAAAACCCTAATTCATATATGCAACCGATGAATCATAGAACATTGTATCAAAAACTAATGATGTACTATGTGTTGGTTAACTGAATTTAAATTTAAAAAAATTTTTTTAAATAAATAAAATAAAATAAAATAAAACCCTAACTCAGTTGGCATTTGTGTGCTATTGGTTCTTGTGAGAGATTTTCTTCCTGCCCGCTGTTTTGAACCACCTGAGCCCTACTGCGGCTTCCATGCCTCAGGGTGGACGGTGAGGGCCACAATAAGGTAGAGCTTTAATCCAGACTTATTTTTAAAATTTAAAACCCTACAAACAGCTAAAATTCACTTGTTTCTAGGGGAGTAGAGAAGAGCAGGGGACTGGATTCCTTATTCAAACAAAAATAACTTGCAGCTTTTTCCCATGGTTTGTATAAATAAACTTGTTTCTAGATAAGGCCTTAGCGGGCAAGTTTTCAGCTGAGAGAGAATGCATGTGCCCCAAAGGTAACTTTTGTAAACGTGGCCATTAGGGCAGATAAGGCCTTTAACATGTATTTCTGTCAGACACGCATGTGCAGAGAGGCCAGTTTTAATCCAAACGCTTTGGTTCATGCTAGGAGACCATGAAGCTGAGCTATCAGGATGGTAGCTCTGGGGAGGACGCATTCATGGAAGGGAACAGGTTACAGTCTAGCATTCTTGTGGGCGAGGCTCTGGAAGACATCCCTTACGTTCTGTTTCTTCTCAGATTAAAAAGGTGGCAATCTACTTGTGTCGTAACAACACCATTCAGACCATGGAGGAGCTTCTCTTCGAGCTGCAGCAGACGGAGCCGGTGAATCCCATCGTCCAGCACTGTGACAACCCACCCTTCTACCGCTTCGCAGCCAGTAGCAAGGCCTCCGCGGCAGCCTCCGGTAGGGGGAGGGCAGCTGGGTGGACATCTTGTCTTGGATCTCTGGATTTTTCTGTATGGAGAGCACTGCAGGGATAGGAGTGTATGTGTGTGTTACTTTTTCTTATTCCTGTGTGAACTTCATTTAAGAGATGGCTTCAGGGGCACCTGGGTGGCTCCATCGGGTAAGCATCTGCCTTCAGCTCAGGTCATGATCCCGGAGTATCGGGATGGAGTCCCGAGTCAGGCTCCCTGCTCCGTGGGAAGTCTGCTTCTCCCTCTCCTCCTGCCCCTCCCCCTGCTCTTGCCTGCGTGTGCATGCTCGCTCTCTCGCTCTTTCTCACTCTCTCAATTAAATAAATAAAGTCTTAAAAAAAAAAAAAGATGGTTTCAGAATAGCTGAGACTCTTTTTTTTTATCTTCACTGGTTTAATACTATAAATAAATTACATTCATAATGATTTTCATATTATCTATTTATTGTCAACCTTCCCAGATTCTTATTTTTTATTTTTATTTTTTTATTTTTTATTTTTTTATTTTTTTATTCTTATATTATCCCCATACATTGCATCATTAGTTTTAGATGTAGTGTTCCATGATTCATTGTTTGTGCATAACACCCAGTGCTCCATGCAGAA